AGCGACAGGAGGTCCAAAAAAACACATTGATGTAAGAATCATCCGAATGCAAAGGAGATTCCAAGAGGAGTTCACAGAGTTCAGTATTCTGTTAATGAGATTCCAAAGGTGATACACGTATGTTGATTGATGTCTTCAGATGATCACGGTGAATACCTGTTACAACCTTCATGATCTTGTAACCAGGACCAACAGTGTAGGAAAGTGATACTAGATGGATGCTAGAAATTAACTCCAGCAAGTGCAAAGTTTAGAAGATGGAATCTCGGGGAAACATGCTGAAATCAAACTACTGCTCATCAGTGCTGAAGCTTGCTCGTCAGTGCTGAAGCTTACCCATCAGTGCTGAAACTTGCTCATCAGTGCTGAAGCTTGCTCATCAGCGCTGAAGCTTGCTCATCAGTGCTGAAGCTTGCTCATCAGTGCTGAAGCTTGCTCATCAGCGCTGAAGCTTGCTCATCAGTGCTGAAGCTTGCTCATCAGCGCTGAAGCTTGCTCGTCAGTGCTGAAGCTTGCTCATCAGTGCTGAAACTTGCTCATCAGTGCTGAAGCTTGCTCATAAGTGCTGAAGCTTGCTCATCAGCGCTGAAGCTTGCTCGTCAGTGCTGAAGCTTGCTCGTCAGTGCTGAAGCTTGCTCATCAGTGCTGAAGCTTGCTCATCAGTGCTGAAGCTTGCTCGTCAGTGCTGAAGCTTACTCATCAGTGCTGAAGCTTACTCATCAGCGCTGAAGCTTGCTCATCAGTGCTGAAGCTTGCTCATCAGTGCTGAAGCTTGCTCATCAGCGCTGAAGCTTGCTCGTCAGTGCTGAAGCTTGCTCATCAGTGCTGAAGCTTGCTCATCAGTGCTGAAACTTGCTCATCAGTGCTGAAGCTTGCTCGTCAGTGCTGAAGCTTGCTCGTCAGTGCTGAAGCTTACTCATCAGTGCTGAAGCTTACTCATCAGTGCTGAAGCTTGCTCGTCAGTGCTGAAGCTTACTCATCAGTGCTGAAGCTTGCTCATCAGTGTTTAAGCTTACTCATCAGTGCTGAAGCTTACTCATCAATGCTGAAGCTTGCTCGTCAGTGTTGAAGCTTGCTCATCAGTGCTGAAGCTTACTCATCAGTGCTGAAGCTTACTCATCAGTGCTGAAGCTTACTCATCAGTGCTGAAGCTTGCTCGTCAGTGCTGAAGCTTACTCATCAGTGCTGAAGCTTGCTCATCAGTGCTGAAGCTTGCTCGTCAGTGCTGAAGCTTGTTCATCAGTGCTGAAGCTTGCTCATCACTGCTGAAGCTTGTTCATCATTGCTGAAGCTTGTTCATCAGTGCTGAAGCTTGCTCATCACTGCTGAAGCTTGTTCATCAGTGCTGAAGCTTGTTCAACAGTGCTGAAGCTTGTTCATCAGTGCTGAAGCTTGCTCATCAGTGCTGAAGCTTGTTCAACAGTGCTGAAGCTTGTTCATCAGTGCTGAAGCTTGCTCATCAGTGCTGAAGCTTGCTTATCACTGCTGAAGCTTGTTCATCAGTGCTGAAGCTTGTTCATCACTGAAGCTTGCTCATCAGTGCTGAAGCTTGTTCATCAGTGCTGAAGCTTGCCCATCACTTCTGAAGCTTGTTCATCAGTGCTGAAGCTTGTCATCAGTGCTGAAGCTTGTTCATCACTGCTGAAGCTTGTTCATCAGTGCTGAAGCTTGTTCATCAGTGCTGAAGCTTGCTCATCACTTCTGAAGCTTGCTCATCAGTGCTGAAGCTTGCTTATCACTGCTGAAGCTTGTTCATCACTGCTGAAGCTTGTTCATCACTGCTGAAGCTTGTTCATCAGTGCTGAAGCTTGTTCATCACTGAAGCTTGCTCATCAGTGCTGAAGCTTGCTCATCACTTCTGAAGCTTGTTCATCAGTGCTGAAGCTTGCTCATCACTGCTGAAGCTTGTTCATCAGTGCTGAAGCTTGTTCATCAGTTCTGAAGCTTGTTCATCAGTGCTGAAGCTTGCTCATCACTGCTGAAGCTTGTTCATCAGTGCTGAAGCTTGTTCATCAGTGCTGAAGCTTGCCCATCAGTGCTGAAGCTTGTTCATCAGTGCTGAAGCTTGCCCATCAGTGTTGTAACTAGCTCATCAGTGATATAACTCTCACAGGATGGGTATGGGGTCCACTATCACTCACAGGATGGGTATGGGGTCCACTACCACTCACAGGATGGGTATGGGGTCTACTACCACTCACAGGATGAGTATGGGGTCCACTGCCACTCACAGGATGGGTATGGGGTCCACTACCACCCACAGGATGGGTATGGGGTCCACTACCACTCACAGGATGGGTATGGGGTCTACTACCAGTCACAGGATGGGTATGGGGTCCACTACCACTCACAGGATGGGTATGGGGTCCACTACCACCCACAGGATGAATATGGGGTCCACTACCATCTGCAGGATGGGTATGGGGTCCACTACCACTCACAGGATGGGTATGGGGTCCACTGCTACTCACAGGATGGGTATGGGGTCCACTACCACTCA